CATATTTCTTATACAAATGAAGTACCGTCTGCAAAGCATATATAATCATATGGTAGGGCGGGCTGCGTCAGTTCTATTTCATACTCCTTGTATTAGTCTTAATTTTCAAAGATATCTATGACCGGAGAAAATCCGATTTCTCGCTTAGAAATCCAGCGCAAAGGTATGATATCTTTCCATGTCACATCAGTAGCTGGTGACAAATCTTTATCCTTTTTCCAGCTTCGTATCTCGATAGAAATAAACTTTTCCATCTTGTGATGAACCTGGTGAGAATATTGAGAGAACTATTCCCAGATTAGGTTTGATTTCCAGTTCGGAAAATGTTAAAAATCTTCTGAAAAATTTCAATGAGAAAAGTTGAGTTGCTATCTCTTGTGTATAGTGTGTATAGATAGAAACGGAAATAGAAATAGTTTTCCATTCAATAATTTCTATTAAAAGAATTTTAAATTTCACTTCGGTTCCTTTGACAACTTTGAAATAGATAACGATAGTATTCGCTCCTTATTCTTTTATTATTGATGTAACGTATGATACAATTTGAGAAATATTTAAACTTTAATTAAAAAACAAACAATTATGTTTAAAGTTTTCTCATTTAAAGAGTGTAGACGTACTTTATAAATGATCCTTCATTTATAGATTGACATGTTCAATTCACAACGGAACCCCTGAAATCTATGTCTGATTCACTACGGAACCCCTGAAATCTATGTCCGATTCACAACGGAACCCTTGAAATCTATGTCTGATTCACAACGGAACCCCTGAAATCTATGTCTGATTCACAACGGAACCCCTGAAATCTATGTCCGATTCACAACGGAACCCCTGAAATCTATGTCTGATTCACAACGAACCCCTGAAATCTATGTCTGATTCAAACGAACCCCTGAAATCTATGTCCGATTCACAATGGAACCCCGGAAGTCTATGTCTGATGAAGTATGAATTAGATATCCTTTTTTTCTTTTTGATAAATGTTTTTACAAAAGTGAAAACGTTCATGTTTTTCACTTCATTAATCCGATAAAGAGTTAAGGAGTACCGGACCGTTGTAATTTGGGCATGCACTCTTTAATTAAAGGGTCCCTTGAAACTACAACAACAGTCCCTTTAAAGGGAGTGCTCGCGAAAAATGAAAGGGTGTATAGGCTTACGGCGATAAATAATCGCTTCTGAGGAAAATCAAATTAATATCAAACAAATATTTATTTCCCTTTAATATTTAGAATATTTCCTGTTCAGTTGGCCCTTCTTTATTCAATTATTCTTATCACGTGGTATACTGTACACGGAACAAATCTGGAGACAAAATTTGATCACTGATAAGGGATAAGGGATACACGGAACTTAATCACGTAATCTTGCATCACCCCTCTTTCCCCTCCCCTTCCCCTCATTTTTCTCATGATTATAAAATAAAAATTAAAGGATATTGAATTATTGATAAAAATAAAATTAGCATTTTGCGATTAATTTATTCATGTATGAACCCCTTTCTATGCATTGTAAATAATAAGAACAAAAAATCAGTTGTTTGCAAACATTCTGTATGTTTCTTTAGTCTGGATTTTCTTTAATTCAAATAAAAAAAATTAAATGTACAGTGGTTGGCGTTGATATCAATACAAGGAAGACGACTTTTTAAATTTAAGTTTTGATTTCTAACAAAAAAATTTACAAAATACATGTTTAATTGACAGCTTCTCTTTGTTTCCATGATATATATATAAGATCCATGCTGTTAAAAAGGTTGATCAACTTCATTGTATTGATATTTACGCCGACGACTGTATAATAATGATCTTTTGTAGAAAACTAGTATTAGTATTATTTTTCTGCTTAGTCATTTGATTCCTTTCAAAAGCCCTGGTTCTGAACTTGATTGATAATTTCTATAAAAAATTTGGCAATAAAAACGACCATGCTTGTAATAATTGTGTGTAATATTAAATTCAAAGTAATGTGTCTGATGTGACTTATACTGTATAATTAATTAAACGTCAATATTCCGATAAAAAAACTTTTTTCATACACTACTAATATTATTCTGAACTTTACAACTTTCTACAGTCAATAATCAATTATCCTCGACAATATCTAAACTTGGGACTTTTGTGGTGGCTTGAGTTCAAAGTTTGACTCCTGTAATCTGTACGAGCCTACAGGGTGTACCACGAAACATGACAGTTGAGAGAAGACCTGAAGATATGACCATGATCTTGAAAAGAATTTACGGCATTTATTGGTCCATCTAAAATTCTTGAAATTACAATTAAAAAATACGGTGGTCTGGATTTATTGCGTTTTAAAAAATTCGTGAGATAATTTAATTCGGATTTTTTTGCAATTAATTTAATCGAACTTAATTGAAATCTGAACAAGACTGAATTTCTAAATTATTTTTCAATCCTCATACATGGAAAAGTATGTAGATATATTGAAAAATAAATGCCGCAAATTATTTCAACGATCAAAAAAGATCTAAAATGTCTCAAAACTGCCATGCTTCATGGCACACCCTGTAGCTCTGGGTCTGCCAGCTGATTGTTAAGGCCGGTTTTTACATTGTGTTGTTGTTGGGTTGAACCTCGTGTTGTTGGTGTGTTATGTGAGGGCGAGACTCGAGCTCTACAATCCTTGTGCAGAATCAAACACTTTCAATTTCCTCCTTTCTCTACAGTTTATAGTTGTGTCCAACTTTGTTTATCATCTTGGTTTATGGATAAATAATTTAGAAAATGGCTTTTATCACTAACTAATCAATATCTTTTTCAGAATCTAATTTTTAGATAGACACGAGTTCACGCCATTTTGTTTTAAATTTTAAAATGGCGTAGGTTATAATTGTCAATTATACCAACCCCACTTTTCACCTAGAACGCAATTTAATATTTTTTGTGCATTCTGTAGAATTTTTTTAAAGATGGTTTTAAAAATTGTGGATAGAACCCAATCATTTTTTATTTTGCAGAATGTACAGAAAATAGAGTATTTGCGTTCTGCAAGGCAATAACCACAACATGATGCTTATGGTGTAATGCAACAACCATATATCACAAACTCCGCGGGATTCGAACAGAAATCAACCAATCCAAGATGGAGCTGATAAACTGCCAGTTCAGTTGGGTTTCTTATTAGCTTTTAATTCTATTGTAACTAGTAAGCAACTATACGGTAAGACCCACAATACTGTGGAATTTGTTTTTGTTATGAAGTAAATAGTTTTTCCAGCAACTATTAAGCAGAGCGGGCCTTTTATGATACATCTTTATCTAAATTTTAAAGTAAAAACAAATAAAAATAGTGCAGGGTTACGCCCAAGGATGAGCTACTTCAGAGACGCCTGTTCGGAATTTATATTGTCTGTTTCCTTATATTTACGATGCCCTGCAACTTTAAAACTTCTTTCTTTCTTTGTCAAATCTAAAGACTGCATTTAAGACTTAATTTAAACTTGGAATTGTCATATTTAAAGAGTTTTAAGTCATCTTTACAGTCTCATTCTTTGTGGGTCTGCTTATAACTGATGCATTTATTAGATGGGTGAACTTTACTAACTTGGAAAAGTAAAATCGAAAACTTTTTACTGAATATTTGATCGATAGTAAACGAAGAAATTGAGTCTTTGCCACAAACTCAAATTTTCAAACTCCCATATCTTTGTAGCCTGATGTTGTAAACCTTTGACATATCAAACTTAGATTATTTGATCTATCAGAATTCACAGCATAAAATATCTAAGGTCTACGACAGTGGGTTTGAAAGATATAAGGATTAAAAAACCAGAGTTTGTGAAAAAGACTCAATTCCTTTGGTGTTTTACTCTTTACCAGGGGCGTATTCAGGAATTTGTCCGGGGGGGGGGGCTTAAATTTGTTCCCTTTCCAGGAGGGCTCAGCACCCGTTGGGGCCTGAAAACACCCTAAAATAATAGATTTCTCTGATCCAGGGGGGCCTTTGCCCCCATAGCCCTGTAGAGCCATTGAATACGCCTCTGCTCTTTACCTAATTAAAGGGACAGTAAAGGAAAAATGAAAGGGGGTATAGGCTAAAAGCTAATCTCTTTAGCTCTTGATCGCGACCCATGAAAGTTTTATCTGATGTTCCTGTCTCTATAAATTGATTTAAAACTGTGTTAAAATTATATGAAAATTCATATATGTAAAATTTAGAAAATCTTAAACTTAAATCACGTGACCAGAACTTTCATTCTATTTTTTTTGTTTTAAATCTTTAAAAAATCTGCTTTTTGTCTAATTATTTGATTAAGTTTGAAATCCAACTTTACTGTTTGAGTTTTATTATTTTTGGCTCCATTTTGTGACTGGTCTGATTTATTTAAATGAGGATTTGCGAGGATCCAGTTCTCATTGTGTTCCAGAAATCTGGACTTGGATTTGAATGCTCGAATAACAGAATAGGGTTCCAACCTCAGACTCAACCTTTCAACTTTCAATCATTTATTTCGGGATTTTTCTGCTTTACATATTCATTCTTGAATATTTTGAAATCTTACAAAGTATTTCCAATTGGCAGCTTAAAATTAAAACTGTCAAACCATTCAGCACTAAAAGTAGGGCCTTTAGCTATAGAACTTGTATAAAGATGGCCATTAAAGAATTTAAAAAAATGTCTCTTTTTAAAGTTTAATATGTTTTTGGCTATCTCTATATACAGTTCTTAAAATAGTACACAATTTGCACAAATACTTGCTTTGGGAAAGGTCATTTCAAACCTTCTAAAGAAAATAATTTAGAAATTTAATTTAATTTAATTCAATTTAATCTGGGTCTTAGAGCAAAATTTAATATTTAACTTTGGAAGAAAAATTAGTTTAAAGCTTGACTGAATTTAGCTAAAGCTGAGGAATTAAAATCAAATAGTTTTGGTTAGAGGTTGGTCCAGGTTCTGCAGATATATATAAACCGCCGCACTACACCGCAGAGCAAACCAAATTTAAACAACACGTTATGGATGTCGTCGTCTTTCAGGTGGTAGCAGTAATATCAATCAGTTTCATTGTCTTATCCACTGCAGCTCTAACCTTGAATACCATCCCTGCGATATCTGGACGCGACGAGACAGGCCGGCAAGTGGATAATCCTAAACTTGCCATCGTGGAGGCGGTCTGTATAACCTGGTTCACGTTAGAATACATTCTTAGATTTGCTACCTCACCAAACAAATGGCAATTCGTGAAGGGTGGTATGAACATTATAGATGTTCTTGCGATTCTACCATATTTTGTATCCTTGTTTCTAATAGAATCCAACAAGAACTCTGTCAAGACAGCAGACGCACCAGAAGACAATGATTTTGAAGAAGTTCGAAGAATTGTTCAAGTGTTCAGAATTATGCGAATCCTTAGAATTTTTAAACTGGCACGGCATTCTACCGGCCTTCAGTCCCTTGGCTTTACCTTAAAGAATTCCTACAAAGAGTTAGGGTTATTGATGTTGTTCCTTGCAATGGGAGTCCTCATATTTTCAAGTCTGTGTTATTTTGCGGAAAAGGACGAGAAAGGAACTCTTTTCCGTAGTATTCCGGAAACCTTCTGGTGGGCTATAATCACAATGTGTACAGTGGGATACGGGGATATAAGTCCTATGACGGGTCCAGGGAAGATTATAGGATCAGCGTGTGCAGTTTGTGGTGTATTGGTTATTGCCCTGCCCATTCCCATCATTGTTAATAATTTTGCCGAATTTTATAATCAGCAAGTTAGAAAAGAAAAGGCTGTGAAGCGAAAAGCTGCTCTAGAGCGGGCCAAGAGGGAAGGAGCCATCGTATCCTTTCATCATGTGCACCTTGGAGATGCTTTCGCAAAGTCCATGGACCTTGTTGATGTTATAGTTGACACAGGTAATTAAAGTTAATCTATGTATTTTATTCGTACATGTACATCTAATCTATGTCCCCCCCCCCTCAACCTCCGACATCAAAACTTTTTGACCTGTCGCCCGAAACCACCCCTTTTTAAACTAGAACCCATTATTACTGTTTTTAATATCATATTTGTTTTTCTAATCTGCTAAACAAACTAATACTATAACTTGATAACAGGTTTTTCTAATATATAGTTTAAGATGTGTGTGTGTGTGATGTGAATGTGCGAAATATTTCAATCTTTGAAAAATATTGCAGTCATGATGTAAAATTGCATGTTTTTTTATTTCAAAAAAAATTAGTTTTTAGTTAAGATTACTTTTTGTTATTTTCTTTACACAATTTTCGTTTGAATTAACCTCGATATTTTGTCAAAAAGCAATTTAAAGGGAGTGACCGGCAATGTATGGTGGTTGAACTGAATATGTAGTATTGTGGACAATTTTTTTAGGATTCATTTGAGACATATAAAACGTTTCTACGACGTATATTTACTGAGTTTGAGCGCAAAATCGACGTTCAAAATCATGAATTTGGGTGGGTAAGTTTTCAGAATCGGGTTTTTATTAATTATTAAATAACAACGACAAAAAATGTAAACAAAATTCTTCAGTAAACTAATTAGTTGTTTAGGAAATTTTGTCCACAATACTACAATACCCAAATCAACCACCATACATTGCCGGTCACTCCCTTTCATTAAGTTTTTTTCATTTTTATTTTGTTTTATTTTGGTTTAGGTAGTTGCTGGTATAAGCATATCCTTCATAGTAATATCAACGGTGGCACTGTGTTTAAACACAATGCCACAGTTGATGCACACTGATGAGAACGGTCACCTCAAGGGAGCGAGCATACTACTTCGACACAAATATTATTTTTGATCACAAAATCACATTCTTTTATTTTGTTCTTATTTTTTTACTTTTAAGTTCTTAAAGTTTTCTTTAAAAAATTATCAAACATTCCGTCAGATTTTCAGGTCAACAACACCTCACAAAATCTAGGTTAAAACTTAAAAAATCTTTTATAATATAATTTTAGCAGTTTTTTTTCGATCAAAACTATCTTTCCATAACTTGAGTTTACAACGACTGTAGAAGTAGTTTCAAGAGACTTTCTATTGATAGAGTGTCAGGTCTGATTCACAACATGGAGTGTCAGGTCTGATTCACAACGGTACTCTTTTAAAACTGATCAAGAATGCATGGGATATCCATAGTTTTCGCTTTGAATTTTTAATTTTCCATTTTGTTTTTCTAGAGAGGAAATTGGGAAAATTGTGGAAATAGAGAAAATGGCTGACATTAAGCACTTTTAAAGATACATAAACAAACGAGAATAATTTCATTCTGATTGATCAGATGCTGGTTTAAAAGGTACTGCTGTGAATGGGTCATGCTACTATTAAATGGAAGGTCGCTTGAAATTTCAAAAGCAGTCCCTTTAAAGCTGAAAAAGCTAGTTATATATCCTTGAACATGTTAAATACGTTGAATAAAGAAAGTTGGCTCAGGATAATGAAGCCTTGAATATGACTGAAGCTGTGTGTGTCGCCTGGTTCACATTAGAATACATTCTTAGGTCTCTTCAACTTCAACTTCAAAACAAACTAAATTTTTATTCTTCAACTTCAACTTCAAAACAAATTAAATTTTTATTCTTCAACTTCAGCTTAAAAACAAACTAAATTTTTATTCTTCAACTTCTTTCTTCAACTTCAACTTCAAAACAAACTAAATTTTTATTCTTCAACTTCAACTTTAAAACAAACTAAATTTTTATTCTTCAACTTCAACTTCAAACCAAACTAAATTTTAATTCTTCAACTTCAAAACAAACAATTTTTTTTACAAAGAAATTGAGTCTTTGCAACAAACGCTAATTTTCTTATAATTCCTATATCTTTGCGACCCAATGTCGTGGATCATAGATATTTGAATTATGTTAGACCAAAAAATCTAAGTATGAAATATCTAATGTTTACACCATCAGGTTGTAAAGATATTGGGATTACAGAACTGAAGTTTGTGGCAAAGACTTAAATCCTTTTTATTCTTAATTCTGAAAAACATTCAAATTATGAACAGTGTTAACCCATATAACTTTAGAATAGGAGGTGTTATTATGTTCTGTGTCCACTGCGCAATTGCTGTGTTCATCACAACTTGAGATACCAAAACTTACAACTTGAATGATTATCAGTTCTTTAAATGAGCAAATTGTACAGGGTACATTTACTGTACATAAACTGTACACAAGATGAATTGACAAGAGCAAATATAGGTTTATTGCTGCAAGTAATAAATGGAGATTTCTAAAAGGAGGGTTGAATATAATCGACGTTTTAGCGATTCTACCCTACTATATTTCTCTCTTTCTAATAGAGTCGAATAAAGACGACGAACAATATCAGGGAGGAGAGATTATTATGTTTATAATTATTATCGTGATTCATAATTATACTTATTATTAATTATATTAAAAATAAAAAAGGTCATTTTCGTAAAAGTCCTTTTTACAGTGGTAACCAAAATAAAGCGAAAAAGGAATTTAAAGTCTATTGTCGATAAAAGGGCTGGAAAAAACCCGGGTTTTAAAATAAACTCAGCCCAGTGGGTTTTATTGGGTTTTATTGGGCTTTTCTGGGGTTTCAATTTGAAAGTAGTTAAAACCTACTAAAATTCAAAGTCATTCATCATAATAAGAATATTTAAGCAATAGGTAAACTCTACAGTTATGAAAGATAACAATATTGTTCTGAGGGGCGTTTTCAGATCCTTAACTTATCTTATCTTAAAATCATATATAAATACTCTTCAAATACAATTATATCACCTCCCTCCCATGGAATAATGCAGTTTTTTATATTATAGTCCTATAGATTTCAGACTAATTCTATATTTTCTCACTTGGATGCATATTTCTGATTGGGGGCGGGGCTACTTAGATTAATCGGTAGATAATTATATGCTCAAGAAGGAAGAACACTGTTTAATTCAAAAAAACATCAGATGATTCACACATGAGAATTACAAAGGGATTTTATATCCTTGTTCTATTGAAAACTCTGATGTAGTTCTGTGTATCTCCTTGGGGTTTTCAATATCTTTCTAAAACCAAAAACCGTCTTGAAGTCCAGAGTGACAAGATTGACTACTTTGATTCATTCAATATTTTTTTAATAACTCAATATTCAAACAATATTAATTTTGTTATGATCATTGGTTTAAGTCTTAGGAAATGAATAAATGTTTGAGTTTTAGTGCTGTGAACTCCTAAAAAATATTTTTCTTGAAGAGTATTATATGAGTAAAGAAAATGCAAAAATTAGAAAAATTCTAAAAAATCCCAATAAAACCCAAAAAAGCCCACTTACAGGTGGATTTTTTAAAAGATGTTTTTGGTGGTTTTTTGGGCTGGTTTTTTTAATGCCAACTTTGATTTTCGATTATATTAAACAATAAGATATCCTTCAAAACGTTTATTATTGCAGAGTTAATTAAAAGTCTAATGTACGATATTTTATACATTTTTTTCTAATTTGTGAACCACTGTATATTTTTCCATTTTGTTAAAACTTTTTATAACTGTGTACTGTATATATAGACATTCCACTGGACTCCAGAGTCTCGGGTTTACAATAAAGAATTCATATAAGGAAACAGAATCTGGTCTTTAGAAACATTTTATTACACTATTCCCCTTCCCTCCATTTATTCTGAATACCCCTCCTCGTCCTTCCCCTTCCCTCCATTTATTCTTAATACCCCTCCTCTTCCTTCCCCTTCCCTCCATTAATTCTGAATATCCCTCCCCTTCCTTCCCCTTCCCTCCATTTATTCTTAATACCCCTATCTTACTTTCTTGAAAATTATTTTATTGTCTACCTTCATGCCTATTTATTATTTATACCCTCCCTTCTCCACAGTTTTTCCATCAAGTTCAATCCATTTTTCAATCCTCCGCTTTTATTCTTCTCCTTTAGACAATCTACCCTGCATCCTTTAATCCCTACTCCCTGATCGATTGATTTATGGGAGAAAAATAAATATTTCTAGAAACTTGAAACAAGCTAACCTATTTCAACCCAATAATAGTAAATCGATTGATTTATGGGGGAAAAATTCCATTCTTTAAAAGTTTTTAGAAAACATCCTCGTGCTATATTTTTCACAGGACGTGAATGTTATTTATGTCGTAACAAATCATTGACATTTTGTCAACAAAATATTTCCAATTTTAGAAACCCGCCAAAATAAGTGAGTTTTATCCGGATAAAAATATTGAAAGTTTGACAAGAGTAAAGTTTAAAAAACCATTTTACTCAAATATTGGACTGTGATTAAACCTATACATTTTCATTTTACAAGCCCTAAATTTTGTGTGTGGTATTTCCCCTACAGGATTTGAGTCTTTGCCACAAACTTTTGTTAATCCCTATTTCTTTGCAACCTGACGGTGTTAATCTTTGTTTTTTCAAATTTAGCTTATTTGATTCAACATTATTCATAGTTTGGAATATCTATGGCCAATGACGTTAGATATAAGGATCAGAAAGTCAGATTAAGTGGCATAGACTCAATACCACAACCCCCCCTCTACCAGACCTCATGGTCCTTGTTACGATTTAGGAGCTAGGTCTCCTGCTTATGTTTGTCGCTATGGGAGTTCTTATATTCTCCAGTCTTGCCTACTTTGCTGAGAGAGATGAGAAAAATACAGAGGAAATAAGATTAATTAATACTCATTTTTTTTACTTTCAAATTATTGATAACAAAAATTTAAAAAATGTCATGTCCGATTTAAAACTGTGCTCTTTAAATCTCCTTTTTTATATCTCGGAAAATTGACTTTTTAAAGTGACTTACGGAATATGCTGCAGAAACGATTAAGAAAATGGTTAGAATTTCAGATAGAAAACTACGTTGGTATCCTCATTCTTTCGTAAAATTTTTTATGAATATTTTTAGATA